TGACTGCTGCAGTGACTTCTATAAACAGTAGTAACTGTACTTTCAAAAGCAATTTATTGGCCCAGATCTTCCAGCTTCCGGAAAATCAGAGCCTGGACATAGCATGAAAGATTGAGCCCTTGGAAGCTCCAGTGCAATAACTATGTGGTTGTGAATTAACTCCACAGAGGCCAGTATCCCATCACCAAGTCACCTTTTGTTTACACAAGAAGAGTCCTTGACCCTGGTATTGCCTCCTCAGGGTCAGCTATCAGAGTACCAGAATTTCTAACACTCCTGTTTTTATCTGTCAGCCAGGGCTCCTTGATTGAATCACATTAACAGCCCCAATCAGGGAAGTCATATTCTATGAGGTCCAGCTGGTAGACCTCATTAAAATCACGACATCCCTCCCATCTACGTCCAAGGGCATAGGTTGGTCCTTTCTCTTGGAGAGCCTCCTGGGGTATTTTAGCACCGGGTCAGGTTCCTCCAACTTGGCATCCAATTCAGGCAGTGTGTGACACATGGGAGCTCGCCTCTTGCGCCAGGAGTGCCTCAGTAGAATTTCATTTTCTTCTTCTGGTGGCAAAGGCGTCAAGGCGGCTACATCCGTCATGTCCATTTCAGATTCAGGTGACTCATCAACGCTTGATGGAGAGGGTAAGCTCACGGGTTCCGGCAGCATTTCCATCTGTTCCGAGGGCAGGGAATGTTTTGCTCCTACACTGTTTACAAATTCATGGCTTTCACATGGTCCATGTGCTTGTTCAGGACCGTTACACCTACCCAAACTTTGTGCGTTACTGGTCCTAACCTTGCATCAATCATGCCTGTTACCTGTGTAGGGTTATTTCTGTGATTCTTGCACCAAACTTCATTCCCTGTATGAAATGGTCTCTCTCGCTTGGCAGAGTCTTATGTCCGGCATTAGTGTTCCTGATGCCATTTCTCCTTCCCCCACAGATCCAGGAAGATCAGACTTAACCTGGTGCGAAGTCTTCTACCGATTGGCAACTGTGCTGGTTTTACCTCTGTGGTTGCGTGTGGGATAGTCCTATAATCAAATAAGAACCATGGCAGATTGGTGTGTAGTGTGGCTGAAGGCTGTTTCTTCAAGCCTGCCTTCAAAGTTTAGACTCTTGCTGCCAGACTTTTGGTTAATTGATGGTATGGAGCTGTCCTTATATGTTGAATCCATTCGACTTTAGGAAATACCCAAATTCCCTGCTGGTAAATGATAGCCCATTATCTGCGACCGATACTTCTGAGGGTCCATGTATTTCAAAAGATACATGCAGTTTTGTTCTGTAATCACCCCCACGTTTGACGAATGAACTCTGTGCACGTCCAACCACTTCGGGTGGACATCTACAATGACCAAGAACATTGACCCTATGATAGGTCCTGCATATTCGACATCCAGTTGAGTCCAAGGTTTACCCAGCCATTCCCACAGATGTGGGACACCTGCTGGCAGTAATTTTTGTTCTTATTGGTACTCTGGGCACTGACCCACCAGTGTGGTTATTTCTGCATATAAGCCTGGCCACCAGACATAACGTCTCACCAACATCTTCATTTTGGGGACACCTGGATGCTCCTGGTGAAGTTCAGTCAGTATTTGGTGGTGACCTTTCCTTGGGACAATCCCCCTTGCTCCCCATAACAAAATGCCATTCTCTACCATGAACTGGTCTCTTCAGTTCCAAAAAAGTTTAATTTCTACTTGTAATCGGCCTTTGGTTTTCCCCATCACCACCAGTTTTTTTTTTCAGTATTGTAAGGACTGAATCTTTCTGCGTCCAAAGTCTGTTACTGTCAGCATGTCCAGAAAATGTAATATAATTACAGACTGTTCCAGTCGGGGTGCCACCAATGGTGTATCTGCTAATGGGATGTTGTTCAATGCATCCACAATCGCTACTAGGCCTCCCAGACAGTGTTTTAACTTGTAATTATACACGTAATATTAGGGCCCAACGTTGAATGCAGCCCAAAGCTATGGGCAGCAGTGCCTTGTCCTCTTTGAGCAGACTAAGTAGACCCACACCACACTTCATTCACCTGCAACGCACACCTCCACCACCTATCAGCCCCAGCTCTTCACCCAGTTGCCACACCAACCCCTCACTCAGCTACCATCCAGTCCTCACTGTCCTGCCACCCCAAACCTTACCCACCTACCACATGACCCTTCACCCACCTACCAGTGCACACCCCGTCACTGCCCCCACCCCAACTCCTCATCCACCTGTCACCCAACCATTGCCCCATCCTCCTGCCTTTCAAACTCTTCACTCACACAACTGCCAGCCCACTCACTCACTCACACCCATCTTACCCACTTTCCTTCTCCAATTGCCTTCTTTCAGTAGCTTGTTAAAAAGGCTTTGAGACTCTTTACCTTTAATTATGTACCAGAGTACGACAATTAATGCTGTAAAAATGGAATTACCTTCTATAAAGATTCTTCATGTTGCTCTTTGCAAGGTTTGCTGCACTGCCTGAGTTAGAGTGGATTCTGCATTGGAAGTTGGGCGTGAAAAATTATGGGAAGCTCAGTCACAAGCATTTTATCTGATCTGGGTCTAAAGATCTTGGAACATTACCACCAATACAACCACTATTTCTGGAGCCACTTCTTTAAGTACTGTGTGAGGTAGAACATCAGGGCCTAGAATTTATCAGCCTTAATCCCATCAATTTCTCTTACACCATTTCTCTAATAATGCAGATTTGCTTCAATTCCTCCCTCTCACTACGCCCTGTTTTCCCCATCATTTCTAGTACGTTATTCATGCCCTCCTTTGTGAAGACAGAAGTTAAATGTGAATTTAGATCATCAGCCATTTCTTTGGTACCCATTATAAATTTTCCTATTTTTGACTGTAAGGGACATATATTGGTTTTCACCAATCTTTTTCTCTTTACTTACCTATAGAAATTTTCCAGTAGTTCTTATGTTCCCCTCAAGGTTACTCTCATACTCTATTTTCCCCTTAGTCAATCCTTGATCCTCCTTTGCTGACTTCTAAACTGTTTGCAAACCTCAGGTCTATTGATATTAATTGCCAATTCTTATGCCTCTTTTTTGCATCTAATACTACCTCTAACTTTCTTCATAATCCTTGGTCTGATTACTGTTCTCTTTGCACACTTGTGTCAGACAGGAATTAACATTTTTTGTCGTTTATCCATTCGCTCTTTCAATGTTTTCCATTGCCAATACACTGTCATTCCTTTCAATAGCATTCCCCAATCCGTCATAGCCAACTCATGCTTCATACCATCGTAGATTCACTTATTAAGGTTCAGGAACCTAGTTTCAGAATCAGCTACCATATTCTCCATCTTGATGAAGAATCCTATCATGTTATGACCACTGATCTTCAAGGGGTCTTTCACAACTACATTTCCAATTATTCCATTCTCATTGTATAATACTCAATCTAAGATGGCCTGTTCTCTCGTTGGTTCCTCAATGTATTTGTCCAGAAGACCATCCCACATCTGTTCTAGGAATTCCTGCTATATAGTATTGTGACTAAGTTGATTCACCCAATTTATATGCAGATTAAAGTCACATATAATTACAGGTGTTCTTTTATCGCATACATCTCTGATTTCCTGTTTAATTCCATTCCCAACATCATATAATTGATCTATATGCCACCCCCATTAATGGTTTTGCCCCTTGATATTGTTTAATTCTATTCACACAGATTCTAAATTGTCTTAACTAATATTGTCCCTCAATACTGTGTTTGCATCCTTTTTACCCCGTAATGCAAACTTCACCACTTTTCCTTCTTGTCTGTCTTTCCAAAATACTGAATACCCTAGATTTTTAGTTCCCACCCCTGGATACCCTACAGCCATGTCTCCGTAATCCCAACTATATCATACCGGTTTACGTCTATTTGCGCGATTAATTAATCCACTTGATTTGACATGCTCCGTGCATTCAGGCAGAAAGTCTTAAGGTTTGTCTTTTTAACATTCCTTGTCTCATGCCCACTTTTTCTTATTGTGGCATTCTTTGATTTTGGCCTTTGATTCCTCTGTCTATCACTTCTGTTATTCCCCTTTGTGTCTTTTGTTCTTGTCTTTAATTCTCCTTCCTCACACTTCTTGCATTGGTTCTCATTCCCCTGTCAGAGAGTCATAGAGTCATACAGCATGTCAAGAAGACCCTTCAGTACAACTCAACCATGCTGACCAAATTTCCCAAACTAAACTAGCCCATTTGCCTGCGTTTGGCCCATAGCCCTCTAAACCTTTCCTGTTTATACATCTGTCCAAATGTTTTTTAAATGTTGTAACTGTGCCTGCATCTACCATTTCCTCTGGCAGTTCATTCCACATACAAACCACCCTCTGTGTGAAAAAGTTGCCCCTCAGGTCCCTTTTAAACCTTTCTACTCTTTCCTTTAAAATACACCCCCCGATTTCCCCTATCCATGGTCCAAAAATTTGGTAAAGTGAGTACCAAATTGCATACCAGCTCCCTGCTGATTGTCACAGAAGGTGATGTTGGATTTTAAATCTATTACTTCATGATGGCAATTGGTTCATGATGTTGACATCAGCCCTTCTTTCCTGAATGCTACAATTTCAGCTTGTCTCAATTCATAGCACTCTTACCTAACACAAAAGACTGGGGATTCAAATTCCACTACAGACGATTCATCACACAAGGTAGGCTGATGTTCCAGCTCATTATGAAGCTTGTCTTTCATTGTTGAGAGACAATAGTTTTGAGATGAAATATTGAACTTGCGTACCATTTCAGCTGTATATGAAATCTCTTTGGTGGTATTTTGAAAGAATTCCCTCAGTGTCTTGTCCAAAGTTCCTCCACATGATTCCACTCCTTGCCATTTCAGTGATGTTACTGCTTGCAAATTGACTACAGTTCAAAATAAATTAATCAGTTACAAAGTACTTTGAGAAGTTATAACAACACATGTTCTTCCAAGTTCTTTTATTTACCTAATGATTACACTGATGTGTTTCAGACAACACATCCAGCTATCCCGCTGGTAGCCACCAGTTATCACAGATGTCCAGCTTAATGATAAATGCAGACCATCTTGCCGATTTTAATGAACCGTTAGAATACAGAGTCAACTGTACGGAAAAATGGATCGATTATGAAGACTTCTTCAAGTGTTTCCAGTAAGTCCATATTCCTGCGATTATTGTTCATTTGAGCAGTTACAAATTTAAGTTCTTCTAATTCTTGCACCCAAATACTCATTCCTATATGTAATTCAGATTTTAAGAAATCAGGGATCAAAAATTATTGGGCTTCAATCCCTGGGTCTGTGCTAGGGTTCCACCTGCTGGACTCCTTCAGCTTGGACCCTGCTGATGTTCCTGTTGTCAATGGAAGGGCATGCTTTTTGCATGGGGCCGATAAGTGTTTTAGTATTGAATCAAACAACACATGAAGTGCATCAACAGAAAGGGGAATAGATTGGAGAAGGCATTTTCATTACCTGAGTTTTTTGAGCAAGCTACAGGCTCACATCAGGTTGAACTAGCAGTGCAGATCTGCAAGATGTCACACCACACTGGGACTAACTGCAAAGCCCAGAAAGGAACAGGTCATAACTCTTTTGCACACAAGGTTCTGCATATGATATCCTGTTCAGTCAAGAGATTTGTGAGAAAATTGCTTATGACAAGGTAATTAAAGTATTTATCGTTTCCTTCAGTCGATGCTATTATTGAACGGGTGGAATTTAACGAGTTCACCCAGCGATTGGGAGACAGTGGTGATTAATTTATTAATAATTTCCTGCCAGCTGGCATAAATCGTAAATGTACTAATTTTAAGGAAGAATTCAGCCAGGACCAAATCATCATATGGGCTTAGAGAAAACAATGGATATTATCAAAGGCTATACATTTGGCCAGACAAGTAGAAGATAGAAAACAGAATTATACAGAAATTCCAGTGATGTGGATACTTATTATTTGTTAGGTTCTGAAGTAAAAATGTGGTTCCAGTGGTACTACAACGTGGTAGCATGGTGGCTACCAGTGTTATCAATGTTACAATTACAGTATTGCCAATGCTAACAGTGTAGTGGAGAAAGGCAGCATTGGTACAAAGACTGTCTCACTAATACCACAAACTGTCCTTTTTTTTAAGATGGATCATTTTAAAGTGATGTGTTGCAGCAAGAAGCTTACATTTCAGAAGCAAACAGAAGTACACAAAGATTAGCAAAATTCAATGAATTGAACTTGTTAAAGAGTTAAAGGTGGTCTACCTGGTTGAGTTAAATGGCTAAACTTTAAATTGTTGGCATGCAGAAGTTTTGGCAACAGACGTAAAACACGTTTTAATAGCTGAAGTTTCAGTTCATTCTAGAACTGAACCACGGTTTCAACAAAACATTCAGCCAACATGTGTAAAATTCTGTGGATCAGGATGCGTGCAATTTTAAATCATGGAACGAGTGACTGCCACACTTCAAGATAAAAAGAGGAAAATCATAGAAATCTTATGTGTAATCCAGACCAGGATTGTCCATTTTTAAACGGAAGAGCTTGAACAGATTTACTGCTAATTTACGAAGTGAAGGAATTGGCACAAGAAGCCTAAAGATTTTAGAGCTGAACTTCTTCAATTATTCAATACGCTTAGAAAGCTGAAAACAACTTATCACATCAGCTTACATCCTGAAGGAAAGCTTGCCTGTTTGTTTACACTGAGAAAAGTTCCTCACCCACTTTTGCAGTAGGTGAAACAAGAAGTTGACTCAATGGACAGAATCTTCCCATCGTCTGAACAACGTGGACAGTGATATCTAAGGAGTGGGCCACAGTCAGTGCTGCAGGCATCCAGTGCAACCAGTCTATGAAGTCTGAGTAAGTCAGTCGGGGAGCTGCGCAGAGATCAGTCAGAGGTCTGTCCATTCATCACTAGAGGCTATCTCTCAAAATCAGTTGGGGGGTGGGCCATGGCCAGTACTGGGGATCTATCCAGTGAAAATCAAGGAGGATAATCAGAGGCCATTGCTGTTTTAGGGAGTTGGAGAATTCAATTATGGGGTTGGGACTGAATGCTGGAATGGAGAGGAAATAATTGTGAAGGGAAGGCAACTCTTGATATGGTGGAGAGGCTTGTGTATTCCGACAATCCCTGGATGCCGTTGGGAGCTCCTTACTCCTGGTAGGATCACCCTTGGCAGCAATGTTGTGGGGTGGGAGAGGGAGGGTGGTGGTGGGGTGTGAGAGAAAGAGAGAGAGAGAGTTAAAGGGAGGTGCCAGATGAAGCATGATCAAAAATGTCCTAAATGGAAGAATTTCCGTAGGAAGCCAGTGCATCTCATTGGCTGTAATGACACAGGAAGCCTAGCCCAGCAAGTCATTGGTCATTTTGTTTGGACAGTGATGTCTTTGGGCAGCAGTATCTGTGACTGAGCAGTCCTCTTCAGGATACCTTCTGCTCACCCCAGATGAGCATGAGAACTATATAAAGTATCTTAAAAACAGGTTGTTTCACTTTCTCCTCGGTAGAAAACCACATACAGAAGGATCAACATGTTCATGATACCAGTTGTTCAAAATAGTGGCAACTTGTCCAGTGTACTCCCAACAACTTAGTGATGAGACAGGGAGGGAAAGAAGGGAAGCGGTCCTAATGTCCAGATTCCACTGTCCCCCAGGACAACCGGGCCCCATTTTTCCAAAGATCTGTGGGTCAGGAATCAACCTGTACAGTCGCATGAGGACCCTTGGCAGAAACCCACAACCCTGAGTAGCCATGATCCTTGTGTTGACGGAGAACCGGATTGGAGTTAAAAAGAAATCGCCTTTTACTGAACTGGATATCCCAAATCAAAATCAATCTGATGGCGAAGGGAACTTTGAACTTGAAGCGTTTTGTGGAATATTTGGGGTGGGAGTAATGTCAGTAACATCTGGAGGGCTAATGGGTTAATTATTTGGTGTGTGCTGATATAGTTTTTTATAGGAGTGACGAGGATAATCTGTAGGAACCACTGCGGGTAATCTGAAGGAGTTACTTAAACAATCCGTAGGAGTCACTGGGGCTTTCAGGAAGAAACACTGGAGATAATCTATATAAATTACTGGGGTTAATTTATGAGAGTTGCTGGGGATAATCTCTAGGTATATTACTGAGCTAACCTATAGGAGTAACTGAGTAATAAATAGCAGTCATTGATAATAATCTATAAAATTTAATGGTGGTAATTTCTAGTTCCGTTGCATGTCACACCTCTCTGCTGCTTCCCTGTCCAGCCTCCAGCAGGCTGTTGTTGCTGCTGCTATTAATGATCATTTACTCCAGCTTCATTCTAAGGCAACCATGGTGCTATCCATCCCAATGAGTAGAATTAAACCTCCGAGCTTACTCACAACAGTCTATCTCGGCGAGAGAAAAGAAAGTATTTGTGAGCATTTCTGAGTATTTCTGTTTACATTCTCTGTGTCTGCAGGCTTCAGGCCCAAGAACTGCCGGTCTTCTCACTCAGGAGGTACATGTCATGTCATGTTTTAGGAAGTTCAGGAGACCTGCTCCAGTTGCAATGCTGGGTATTGCTACCATTTACAGAGTTAGATATTTAAATTTGAATCCGCCTCTCCATATTCAACTAGCAGAAGACACTGAAGATGAATGGGATCTGCCCATGCTGCTTTGTTTACAGAAGTTTTATCTGACACCTCCATTCCCCTTTGTTGGTCACTGTTTGCAGTGCAGATCATCCGGGTAATCCCCCACCCCTCCACACACCACCACCAATCTGAATTTCCTGTTCTTGTGGTTCACTCTGGAATTCTCCAGCCACCAACCACCCAGTTTCAAAAAATAAGTTTCCTGCCATGTCTGTTCTGCTCACAGCCTCAGCTTGTGGTATCTGTCAGCTTGATACTCAAATAATTTCATTGGGTGTGACATATTACGGGAGTTTGTGTGGGTATAAACAGTACTTCAGAAATGTGGGTTCATTCTGTCTTTCACTAATCGACGTGTAAAGTTCCCACTGTTCATTATTTCCATCTCGGCTCTAGTAAGGTCCCAGCAGATTCTAACTTGGTAAATGTAACACCACGAATCAAGAAGGGATGGGGTGGAGGAGATTAAACCAGGAACAACAGGCCAGTTCCCTTGACATCAGTCCGAAGACTGGAGTGCAAGGATGCAGAAGGTATGCTGCAATTGTACAAAATCCTGCCTGGACCTTGCTTGTGAGAAGATCTGGACACCACACCTTAGGAAAGCTATATTGACACAGGTTTAGAGAAATGATAACCTGGACTTCAGAGGTTAAGTTATGAGGAGATATTATACAAAGGAGGCCTGCTTTCTCTAGAATTTAGAAGGTTAAGGAGTGATCTGATTAAAATCTTCAAGATATTAACAGGAAAAGACAGGGTAGACAAAGACAATGGGAATTCTAGAACTAGAGAACATAGTCTGAGAATTAGCACCAGACCATTCAAGAGGTATGTTAGGAAGCGCTTCTACACACAAAGAGTGGTAGATGTTTGGAAGACTCTTCCACAAATGGCAGAGGTTGCTGGACCAATCATTAATTTTAAATCCAAGATAGACAGATTTTTGTTAAGAAAAGGTATGAAAGGATATGGGATAAAGGCAAATCAGTGAGGTTAGGTCACAGATCAGTCATGATGAATGGTGGAATAGACTCAAGGGGCTGAATGGCCTATTGTTCCTATGACAAGAATCTAAAGAATTTATAAAACGACAAGAATGATTTAGCAAAGACATAGATTTTTTTTAACAACACAATGATGACATATTTCACTGACAGTGAAATGTTAATCTTCCAGTTGGTGATATCATGAACTTGGGTTTTTAAGCTAGCAAGTACAATATGAAAAACAAACTACCTAAGATGCTGGAAGTGTGAAATAAAACAGAAGAAATTGGAAGTAATCAGCAGTTCTGACAGCATCTATGGAGAGAGCAAAGGGGTTCATGTTTCATATTAATCACCTTGTGATGAGCCGTGCATATGTTTGCCCCTTCACATTTGTGTGTCTTTGCTAAAAATATTTAAAGGAGTCATACGGTCAAAGAAATCGTCTACATTCGAAAAAAGTGGCCAAGTCATTGCTACTGAGTATCGCCAGCATTTTATTTTTTATATATTATAAATAAGAAGTAGGATGTGTTGTTGTGGCATCTCTGCCCCATAACCAGAAGCTCTGTGTTCAAGTCCTATTTTAGGACTGATGGCCTTGGCAGGTGCAATAATAATGTGTCAAAACAGGCTAAAGATCAATTTGAAATCCATAAAACAGGTACTACCAACACACAGTAAGAGTGGAAAGGGTTCCTGGTCAGATAAATGACCATCACTATGCATAGCTACAGACTCCAGCATGCATCTGAAACTATGTTTCCATAGCAAATCAGACTCCTTAAGGGGCCAGTTGGCTCAATGGCTGTCATGGACCAGATTGATGCCAACAGGACAAGGTTCAATCATTATTATGGCTGGGATGGATTCAGGACCTGCCTCCTTGCCGTACCCATGGCTGGAGGTTCTGACACTGTAGATTGGAGGTGCTTTCAGGCAGAATGCTCAAGCAGGACAAAAATATAAGAAGTATGGCCCAATCTTTTGGGCCTTTCAAGTTCATCTTCAACATTGATTTTATTAAATTTTCATTTGCTTCCAGGAAATTGATTATTTTCCATAATCCAAATAAATACACGTATTCGTTGCAAAAGTCATGCTTGAAGGTAATCTTCTTGTATTTGATGTATTTTAGTTGCATTCCTAATTTTATTTTATAAGTTTTGTGGTAAATACATTTCAACCTTCTGTGAACTTCTATTTATTATATTTTCTGTTAGATTTCCAACAGACTGAAATCTGTAATGTGTAATAAGATACAATCGCATTTATATTCAATTTTAAATACATACCTGCATGATGTCGTAATTTATGAAAAGGTTCAAATGCCTGTCATCTCCCTTTTGTTTGATTACATAGCTTGAGGTACCAGGTGAATCGATTGACTGCGGTAATGTACCATTTGCCTTGTTAATATTTCAGACTCATAATAATATAAGCTGTAAATGCTATTGTATCTTATTAGACACTAAAAACTGCTGTCTATAAGTTAATGTTATCAGTATTATGTTTTAAAATGTCATCTTCCTCATCATGTCTTTCATAACCCAAGCCAATGAATAATTAGGAGAAGCTTTGCCAAGTACCAAGTAAACCTTATTTCCTGTTACCTATGTGCCATTAGGATATATGTTTGAAACCAGTACAGATTCATTGGGTAATGTGATATTTTCCAAGATGACCTTGGAACCTTATGGTATATCCTGCCAGTATGTAGTACAGGCAGTCCCTGGGTTGGGAATGGGTTCTGTTCTGCAGTCCACTCATAAATTGACTTGTATGCAAGTCAGAACACAATACCGAACTATTTAATGCAGCCAGTCATAAGTTCAGGAAATGGTTGTACATTGTAAAATTACACCCCCTCATATGTGGTCACATTCGTAAGTAAAAGCATTTGCAAGTCAGACAGTTTTAAACTGGGGACTCCTGTACTAGGCAAAGATTGAGGTAGTTCACTGCTTCCAATCAACCTTCATCTCTGCTTTGTTTTGGGCTATCTAGTGATTAGTAGTAAAGGATAAACCAGAGTATCTCTAGAAGAAGCATGGTTCTTAGAAATCAACAAGTTTTAATTGAAACACAGGAGATTAGCACGAAATCAAAATGCTCATCAACCTGATGTTAAAACCAGGAAATTTCCTATTTTTAACTGTGTCCTAATTTTTTGGATGTTAAACTGGCTCCCTTGGAGTTATGCGCACCTCATCTCTTTGATTTGTTGATCAGGCTGGATGTCTTCAGTCACCTTGTTTGTTAGTTTGACTGATGAAGCTGATTTTCTCACACCCTCAGTCATGTTGTTGAAAGTACGTTGCTCACTTAATGCTATCTTTGTCATTGGCATTGACAATGCTGCTGTATTAGTTATTCAACAAAGCGTTCTGCTATCTGAACATCATTAACAATTCCTGAATGAGTTCAGGTTTGTTGCACTGCTCATTATTGTTCTCAGTATTGGCTTCTTCTTCCAAACTCTGTTGTGCTTGACGTTAGTATTCTTGTATTCACTAACACAATTACAAATTGAATGACAGTAGACCTTGCCAGAATTTGTACAGTAGCTACGTTCTGGTATTTCGTTCTTTTACAAATCATTTTAACTTTGTATTTCAGTAATATTGTATTGATTTATTCAATGCAGCTTTAAATTGTATTATTGGCTGTTTTGTACTAATGCACTGCTTTCAAGCTTTATAAAAACGTGTTTATTTTTATAATCAGCACCTTTGTGTGGCTTCAGGACAGTGAGGACTGAAGATGCTGGAAGCTAGAGTCAATAAATGTAGAGCTGAGAAAGCACAGCCAGACAGACAGCATCCAAGGATCAGGAAAGTCAGCCTTTCCTGCTCCTCGGACGCTGTCTGACCGGCTGTGCTTTTCCAGCTCCACATTTATTGACCTTTGTATTGCTTATTGTGTTTTCTCACCACTCTCGGGGCTTTCCTATCATTTTTCACAACCATAAATGGTGACCAGCTGTTTTTTCTAAGGTTTTTCCACCTTCAACAGGCATTATGGAGTGGTCCCACTTCTTTCTGATGTAAGAGACCATATTTCTTTTTGGACTATAGACTGAAATTTCAAAAATGGACACTGTTTTAAAAGGAGAGAAAATAAAAGAATTTGTTTGCAGCTTCGGAAAAACAAGTGAAGCTAACTGGTACATATAAAACAATGTTATTTCTGGGGATGCTGTGTAGACAAATCATTTCCACCAAGGTGTGTTCAGGGCAATTTTACCCAGAGACGGTCTTTTAATTTTTTTTTTAGTTGGCACCTATTACTGAGGGTTTAGCGTAACAACAAGGTAGTGCTTGGTCAATTGTAGCTTAATACAGACTCTGTGGGTCAGTGACAAAGAGAAGCAAAGAGACTTCAAGAAGTTAGCTGCATCATTCTTCTGTCTCTCCTTTCTATATAAACTTGTTCTCTTCAATTTTCTGCTGAAAAAGCAGGGAAAAACACATTCAGAAATTATGAAATAGTTTGAAAATCGAAAGACAACCCCAGGCAAACCAAACAAATCAGTGAACTAAAGACTGATGAACATCAAATGCGAATAACATTGAGGCATCATTGAAGATTGGAAAAGGATTGTGGACCTGACTTGTCAAGTGTATTTAATTTTGGACTGGTGAAGCCGTGAGCCAGAAGAAAATTGGAATTTGTGGTGGCTTCATTACATTTTCACATTTGTCATGGCTCCGGGAATAATGGGGTTAATTTACAGTACACTACACCAGTGGGTCATACCACTGGATAAAATGGATGTTCTACCAACATTCATGGTCTAAAATACCAAGCACTTTCTTTTACACAAAAATTTAAATGAAATTCTCTGTCTACGGTCTTTACAAAGTTTTCTGCTGAAATCACAAAGTAATTACTGAGTCCTGGTCCTTTTAAATCCTTTGTTTCTCCTAACCCTTGTTCTTCGGCTGGACTCATTCACTAGTTTATTTAAATTTCCCTGGTTCAGTTTAAATAAATTTGGAGGCCTTCCTAATTTTCTACTCCCAGCCTAAAGTTATTTTCTGGCCCTTTCGCTATTTCTTGCAGCTCTGCCATCTGGACCCTAAAATCGATAACAGCAATGTTCGTTATGAGATGTGAGAATTCTCTTTTACATTTACCTACCTTCCTTTTCCAGTCTTTGTGCAGTTGATCAAACTTATTTCTCTTTTCCCTTAGGAATCTGTAATTTTACCTCTTGGTTTCTTTGATTTTTCCTTATAGAGTGCCCTTCACTAAGTTTTATGTACAGCAAGCTCTTTCTCTTTTGCCTACACTCCTGTCCCAGCACTACTTACCAGCTTCTGAGTGAAGTTTTGCCTTTGCAGTGCTGACCCTGCCTATTGCTGCTTCCACAACTGCTGCTGTTTCTGTCTGTTAGCAATGGTGTTTCAGCTGCCAACTGACTGTCAGTATCTTCTTAAAGTGGTAATATTCTCAAAGTGGTAAACTCAGTTGCTTAAAGCATTTTATTTTCTTCTGGGTTAGCTATACTACTTCCCCTCATGGTGACGTTAAATCCGAAATGCTCCAGCCAAGTGGTATCTTTCCAAATGAACCCTACTGGTATCTTGTAGTATATGGTAGTAGATAAGAGTTATTTGAGATGGTTTGCTGTCATGTATCCTCCTTTGTCTTTGTTTTGTCTATTCAGTGATTAGTGGTAGAGATACAACACTGTACAATATCTTCACTGTTCTTAAATAACAAGAGGGATACTGGCATGATAGCAACAAGTACGAAGACACTTGGTCAGACATAATTATAAGATCCATAGAGAGCTGATACAGATACACTGCTTCCTCTGAAAGCAAGAATAGAAATCCTTGTCTTAGCTCCACCCACAGTCTGTGGGATAACGTAACATGAACATTAACCTCTTCAGAACCATGAGTTTATACAACAGATAAAATAATTCATTTTTGTTTTGGCTGTAAAGTTCTTGCTCACAATGAGTATTAGTCAAAACTCCATGTGCACATCTTGTTCCTTATTCCTCTGTTCCATATTCTTTCATGTGCCTACATTGCATCTTGCAAAATATTAATATTGACTCAGCTTCAGTTACTAGCTCATGTATTCAGTTGCTCCATGACCCTCTGTGGGGGAAAAGCAAACTCCTGTTTTCTATCCAAAGGTTTAGAAATAATCTATATCTGTGGCCCCTGTTCTGGCCCTCTCAATCACTTTAACATTTTAATTACTGTTTAAGATCGCTTCTTAGTATCCTGTTTTAATATGAAAAACCCTCACTTAAAAAGAATACAATTTTCAAAAAAGGAAGGTGAATTAAGAGCAAAATATCATGGTATTCTGAAGCAAGGCTGTAAGACAGGGCAGGCTTTAGCGCATATGTTGTTGAAGAATAGTATCAGAACTTGTCCACCTTCTCTCCCACCTATCCGCTCCACCCATCCCACTGACCAATCCCCACCGTTCCCTACCAGCACTCACCCATCACCATCCCACCTACCTTCCCCAGCCCCAACCCTCCTCTTTCTGTTTATTTCCCAGCCCCCTTCCCCCTCCCCATTTCTGAACAAGGGTCCCCACCTGCAACGTCTACTTTCCTGCTCCTCTGATGCTGCTTGGCCTGCTGTATTCCTCCAGCTCCACACTGCGTTGTCAGTATCAGAACCCAAGTTTTTAGCGGAGTTCATTGTATGAAGGGTACATTGCTACAATTCTTATAACTACTTCTGTTTAATCAAAGAAAACTATAACGTTGGTCAAGTATGCCTTTCCTTTCGTAAATCAAAATTTCTCTCATTCTGCACAACAGAAGTGGAAAAAGCAAAATAGGAGTGCTGTTTAAAAGACACCCAGTACAACGTCACTTATTTATACTTCCACCAAAGGTTAAAAATAACCCGTATTGACAGAAAACAGCCCAAACACACTTCGCCTTCTCATTATAAATATTTCCCTACTGTTGGTGTTTGTTTTTGAATAATGAAAATGTCCTCCAATTAAAGCTCAATTGAGTATGGCATTCCCCTAACTGGTATACATATTTTATTCTCCATTTTGCCTCCACTATTCATCAATCTATTTTATGTTCTAGCAGTATGAGTGATCACATATCACTCCCTATATTAATGCAAAATAATTTTGCGTGGACCATTTCTTCATTTTAATCCTGATGCTCAAGCATTTTGATCATGTCCCTAAGTAATCTAACCATTCCTTGTTCACTGTCTCTGTTATTCTTGAAAGTTTCAAATCCAAATACCTCAAGCTATCAATGGGCACACTTTTCAATTTGATTTTCTTGGTTTTCTATTTTCTATATTTTTCCTTTTCACCTCTCTCAATTTTTTACCATTTTGCTTATTCCAAATTAAGCCTTTTGCTTTCCTTTCTCAGCTGCCAACCCCTTCTTTTTTCCCCTGCCCTTTGCAATGTTGATTTACCTTGGAACTCTAGTTAACCTTCTCGCAAGAGTATTGGTTGCCGGAAGCAGTTGTTCCATCACTACAGCTGTTCCATCACTACAGCTCACTGCTGCTTAAAAAAGTCTCTCAATATCCCAGGAATCTGAACTTTTTCTGCTGGCACAATATCTGTAGCCACACCATCATCTGCTTAGTTTGGTTGTTCCTGTAGTGATTGGTTTGTGTCATTACTAGCTGTTCAGAAATGATAACAGTTGAAATCCTGCTTTTTACTCTCATCACCTAATTACTCCTGGAGCTGCCTTGATGGGAGCTCCATATAAATCTTCACTATTCACCAGTTGGCTTATGCGACACAAGTTCTGGCTCATTTTTTTCCCTTTTCCACACCCATTCTGTTATTTTTCCAGTGCTTAAGAGGCAACATGTTTTGGATTCACAGTCAGATTACAGTTATATACTCAATTGCACCTTACCTTACCCCCATGTTTCTGCACTTAGCTCTTGGCTTTGCATAACCAATGACTTAATAGACTAATGATTAGTTAACATGATGTCCAAATCTTTCATGATACCAGAAGGGCTGAGCAATAGTTCTACTTGATTAGTAGAACAGCAGTAAATAAGATGCTGAAGTAACAAAGACTCCAGTTTTAGCAAGCGTAGATTAGAAGTGATACAGACAAGATTGCTTAACAGGAAATTTAAACATTTTAACTAATGTGATTAATAGTGACAGCTAATTTAGCCAGGAAGATATAGATTAAAGTCATATTCAAGTCAGTTAGGCAGGTAGTAGGAATGTCGAATTGAATGCATCTACATTGTATCAAAAGATGGGTTTGAAAAAGTGCAGAAAAATTCATTGGAAATGGAAGGTGAGAAGCCTATTTCAACAAGGAATCATGAATGGGAACTAGATTTAACCGAATTGCAATTCAAGCATATTTGAGGAAAAATGTTCTAAAAATTACAGTCTAAAGACACTGACGTAATGATTATTTTTTATTCATTCATAGAGTCATAGAAATATACAGCACGGAAACAGACTATTCAGTCCGTCTCGTCCATGCCGACCAGATAACCTAAATAAATCTAGTCCTATTTGACGGCATTTGGCCCATACCCCTCTAAACCCTTCCTATTTATGTACACATCCAGATGCCTTTTAAATATTGTAATCTTACCAGCCTCCACTACTTCCTCTGTCAACTCTTTCCATACACGCACCACCCTCTGCGTTAAAAAGTTGCCCCTTAGGTCCCTTACATATCTTTCCCCTCTCACCTTAAACCTATGCCCTCTAGTTTTGGTCTCCCCCACCCTAGGGAAAAGACCTTGCCCATTTACCCTATCCATGCCCGTCATGATTTTATTAACCTCTATAAAGTCACTTCTCAGCCTTCGAGCCTCCAGGGAAAATAGCCCCAGTCTATCCAGCCTATCCCTATAGCTAAAACCCTCCAACCCTGGCAACATCCTTGTAAATCTTTTCTGAACCCTTTCAAGTTTCACAACATCCTTCATATAGGAGGGAGACCAAAACATGGAATGTAGCAAGGTAAATGGTTGTTGTTCATCCCTACTTGCCCTTGAGTACATTAGATTTGAGATGTTAGATTTGCATTTCCCTTTGCGCTCAAGACCACAAAAACATTTTATTTGTTCCATTCATTCAAACTCTGTTTTCCACATGCATACTCTTACCACATCCTGTTCACTGATCATACCTCTGCTGACTGACCTACACTGTATTTGGTTCATAGTCTGTTATTACCACAGTTTTAAAATTCTTATCATTATTTAAAAATCTCTTGGTGGCCTCATTCTTCCTTATCTCTATAACTGCCACCAGCTTTGCAAACCTCCAAGATTCCTGAGCAACCCAATTCTGGTCTCTATACATCCAAATAATTGACAGTCATCCTTCAACTGCCTAGACCCTCAATCCTGAAAATTAATCCCTACATCTCTCCTGTGCCTCTAGTCAAATCTTTCAATTTCCTTTTAAGACATACCTTAAAACATGCTTCTTTAACTAAACTTTGATTCACTTGAATTAATATCTCCTTCTGTAACTTTGTGTCCAACAGCGATTGACAATGCTTATGTGAAGCACCTCCGGACATTAAAGTCATTATGTAAATTGAAGTTATTGTTATTTGCCTGCCTCTTGCATTCTGATAAGTTACAGGGTATAACGAGCTGCTAGGCATGCAGAACCAGGAATTAGTAAATTTACAGCTTTGTCAAAAGTGTATTTTGTTATCTTAAATCTTAAATATTTGTTTACTTTCAATTAGTTCTGACTCAATATTATATTAAAATTGACCCCATGACAATGGATTAGCCCACAGATGATCGAGGACCATACTATCTACATGTAGACCACGTCAAGCGTATAGAAATGTTGGTTACTTTCTCTGCGCTGGTGCGTTGGGGTGATATCAGCTGTGAGAAAAACCTTAACAAAGGAAATAATGACAAAGGTTAGTGCTTCATGCATTTTATTTACTGTTACAGAATTATCAGGGATAAAAGAAAGGTAAGCCTATTCCGCTAATCAATTAGATTATGGCCAATCTGCACCTGCAACTCATTTCTAACTATCAGCTTAATAAAATGAATCAACCACCATTGTGAAATGTTTTTAATTAACATAGGCTCAATGACTTTCTAGCCAACAGTGCCAGATTTTCACTATCCTTTGTGCTGACATTACATAACTCTAAAGCATGATGTATCCTTGTACTGAACTTTTGATGAAGAACTTTTTGTCTATCCTTGCAATCAAATCCTTCAATAATTTTAAACAGCCCAATTAAATGATGCCTGCATATCATATATTCAAGAGAACACAAACTTAAACTCCACAAACTTTCTTCATAACTAAATCCTTTAGTCCTAGCATCATTCTGCCACATCAGAATTGCAACTCTTCCAAGGCCACTGTATCCCTTCAGAAGTATGATCCAAGATTAGAATTTAGTTTCGGGCCTAGACCCTTCTTCATTTCTGAAGAAGGGTCCAGGCCCGAAACGTCAGCTTTCCTGCTCCTCTGATGCTGCTTGGCCTGCTGTGTTCATCCAGCTCTACACCTTGTTATCTCAGATTCTCCAGCATCTGCAGTTCCTACTATCTCTAGAATTTAGTACTCCAGATGAGGGCTAACCATAGCTCAGCAATGTAATCGCCATATCTTTATTTTCAATCCTCTTGAGACAATGACCATTTGCTGTTGGGCCTTTTCGGTTGTTTTTTCTTTTGCAATTTTTTGAGTTGTAGACAATTACAATTCCACAAATTACAAATTTTCACAACAGGACTGTTTCCAGGTCAAAGAATATATTTATCTAGTTTAAAACATTTGATTTGTGACTTACCTTCTCTCACTGAAATTTAAGATTGATTTCAATCATATTCTGGTCTCTGTTAGCTATGTGTTCCCGTACCATTATATGGCTGACTAATCCATGCTTTTTATTCATTACCAAATCTAAGATGATTCATTCACTTGTTATTACAAGAATACATCACTTCAGAAAACTGAATTTACTCAAGTAATTTGCTCTTTTTGGGACATGAACTGTTCTTCTTCCCCCAGTCTATCTGAAAATTAAAGTTTCACATTTTAAGAACTCTGACTTTGCAATGGGCTAGTTTGATCTCCCCATTTATATTTTCCATATTTTATAATTGAAATCAAAAGTTCTAGGAGCAACTACCACCAAAGTCTAATAACAATTTTTATGTCATAATTCTACCTATAGTGTTTTTGCTATCTGCTCACTCTTACTGATTTACTCATTTTCTAAATCTATAACAATGTCCTTTGTCAGTGTTGCTACTCTTCCTTTTCCTTTCCATGATCAAGGCCTGGGATATTTATCACCCAATCATGCCCAGTTGGCTATTATGTCCTACCCTTTAAGCTGTGTTTGCATGCCTAACTAGTTTAGTGTTTTTTTGCTATGTGCATTAGTGTATCCTACTTTTGCTCAGGGAGTACTTACTATCCTGCCTTTATGTCATGAAGCTATTTTGAACACATGTTTCAACTTATCAAATTCCTTTTTTTAATCATTTCTGCCATTTTTTCTCAGTTATTCTGTTATTATTTATTGATACGGTGATAAGGTAGGAAAGTGGGTTCAAGGTAGAAGGTCAGCCATTACCTCATTGCATGGTGGAACAGGCACAATGGCCGTATGACTTCCTGCTCCTCTTTCTTATGTTCCTGCATTACAATTACCTGTAATTCTTCCTTAACCTGAACTGCTTATATTGACACAATTGATGACCTGGAATTTACTCTTACCCTTACTTTTAATCCCCTTGGCTATTTCTGTTTTCACTTGAACTAAACAGCCCCCTGCAATTAATTTCCTTTCCGTTTTATTGGCTTAAAGACATTTTTTAAACTCTATTTTCTTTTGCCTAGTCCTTTGGTCTGAGTCCTATTCAGGTGAAGTCAGCAGTACAGTACCTTCCCGTTCAGGGATTAACATACCATAGCCCTGCTTTTTGTGGCAGTAGCGGTGACTGCTGATCTTAAAGTCCAAGGAAACTTCCATACTGTTACACATTAAAATCACAGCCTTAAGACAACAGATATACATGACATCTATTGAGCTGTTACATTGTTTCCAGCTACATTGAAAGTGCAATCTCAGCACATCCCAAGGCACGCTACAGCCAATGAAGTACTCTTAAAATGCTCTAACATAGGAAACACATTATTCAATTTGCAGCCATTAAAAGTCCCACAGACAGCAATGAAATAAATGCTGGCCAGGATTCCAGGACGAACTCCTCGTTCTTCTTCAAAGCAGAGCCATGGGATATTTTATGGTCACCAGAGGGAGCAGATGTGGCCTCAATTTAGTAACCCTGTCAGTAAAAGACATCCACAATTCCCTGGAGTAGAACTTGAATCAATAACCTTCCAACTTGAAGGCAAGGATGTTATAGACTGAACCATAACAGATGCACATGAAAAGAAAATGGCAAAGAAGTTGATGTCAATGCCCAATAAAGAGTCAGTAATTCTGCAAGAAAAGCTCAGAAATGCTGACAAAAATAAAAACTTTAAAAAAAGTTACAAATACACAGATGCTCAGCATCTGCTAAGCATTAACCTGGCTGCTCACTTGAGATCTAGCAATGATTCTCCAGTACATTCCTCACCAGGAAAGGTGAGCTAGCCAAGCTCTTCTGGAGAATGACACCAGTCTGAAAAGAGAGAACTACACTGCAACAAGCCCTGTTCTCCTTGCCTGTGATAGAATTGATAGTCTGTAATATCTCCCACATTCTATAAAAATCTGGAAACTGCTGTAATTTCCACAAGGTGCAGTGGCAGCACTGTCCAGAATAATCACCATGCGATAGAGACTTTTAAATTTTATCTGCAACAGAATAATGTATGGACTTGAAAAGGAAATAAAATTGCATGGCTCTGAACAAGGGAATGGGACTAATTTGAATCACTGTTTCAAAAGGCCATCACAGATAAATGGGACCATAGCCACCTTCTTTAATGTAAAATAGTACGTTTACATGAAGTAGTATTTTTCATTTTGTGATAGTCTTTGGAGATATTGCTGCAGAATATATTTATCTACTTTTTCACTTGAAATTTACAGAAATTATTCTGCACTCCCACTTGGAAGCCACATTCAAAGCAGATGGTACCCTGCACATCCTGTGAGTGCAACCTCCTGCTGGGAGAACAAAATCAAGGATTCACCTTGTGTGTTCCCCTTTTATAACAAGAATAATGTTCAAAACAATGTGACCAAATATGTTGATAAGTGCACATGATTTACGTCAATACCCATTGATCACTTTTGCCTTTATCATTATTGTCAGAAAACATGAAGGAATTCTCAGGCATTTCGTCAGGCATCCTCATTGCTGAGTCATATTCTTGGAAGAGTCTTGCTTCAAGCCCTCCAATTCTATACATCAGAACTGTGGCTACAAAATCAACTATCTTAGAGCTACCTTGTGGGTATGTGCTCATTTTCTACATCAACCAAGGAGGCCTTCAGACTAATTTTTGTCCACAGGTATAAATTTGTTTTAAATAGTTAAGAAACAAATCAAAATCCCACCAAATAGGGAAACTGCTAAATCCACTCAATTTTCTTACAAGGATGCATACATATAGCACACAATTGTAGCAAGAAAGGAAGATTGCATTAATTCCAAATACAAAGGTTTGGACCAATTGAAGGAGAGTTGTGATTTGTGAATTAAATTAAAAATATGAATCTCTGCAGAGCCTCAAAAGCCTGTATGTGAAAAGGGAAGGGTGATAGGCAATACTAAATGTTGCATGAGGGTGGCTATGTTGAGGGGAGGTAAAGCTACACTTAATGATCTTCCAATTAGCCTTCTTAGTTAGGCTGTTAACCTCTGAAATGCTTGTCCTTTTCATGTGATTGAAATCAGAGCTCTTTGCCTCACTTAAATATTTAATTCTGGGATTCTAAGTCAGTTGCTGTTTGACCTCTACAGGGAGACCAGGATTTCAGGCCGAGATACCAGCTTGTCATGGACTCCCTATCTCTCTCTCTCCCCAAGTTGGTAGCTAGAAAGAAGTCAGCACTTTGCCTGCAACAAGGAAACTACCAGCTCACCAAATTAACTATTATTGGATACTGACCTCCAGGAATTCAAAACTTGGATAAACTTTTTTTTATATCACTGCACTAACCAAAGCTTGCATTTTATAATTTAATTCCTCCCCTAGCCAGTTCTCCTTAATTTCCTGAATGTTTAGTTGTGTTAATAGAGTAGGGAAGCATTTCACCTACATTTTGAATATTTTGTTACTATTTATTATCTTTGATTTCATTGTAAATGTTTCTGCTGTAGATTATTTCAAAAATTGGAATCTGGAAACCAGGGTTTGAGGAATGCCCTTTGGTCTACTTCGGTAAGGTATGAGAATAAAAATGAAAAAGAAAGAGACAAATCAAACAATACCATGCTGTCCCGGGCTTAAGAAGGAAAAATCATCATAATTTCAATTCAACCCAGACCAGCCTCTCTCTTCATGACAGTGTGTTGACCTCAGGAGTGCTACACAGAATAACATTAGGCAGGCCAGAGAGTGGGGTTTGTCATCTGAAAATGTTTTTCCACTCGACAGTCATGCCTTCCTAAGGTCCCCTTGTCTCCAAGTTGGAGGGATCGTATTTCTGCATCTACTTCCATGACTTCTTGCATCTAAACTTGTTTAATTGGATTTGTCCTCTTTCTCACATTCTTGAGAGAACTAATCTCAGTGCAGCCCCTCAGATCCCACAGAAAGACTACCAGGTAAAAGTGGGGAACCAAAAGAGCAGCCTTCCGATATGTCCTTGCTCTTTAGTCTCAAACTTCCAAGAAGCTTCAGAGTCCTTGAAACTCATGTCCCTTAAACTAGCAATCCTTCATTTGAAAATGAATACGGCATTCAGCATGCCCTGCCAATTGTCAGGGGAATTGGATATGGTATTAAGACTATTACTCCAGGAAAGAACTTTAGCAAAGTATGTCCATTAGGGGATTGATTTCTCAACCTGGAAATGGTTCTTCCATTCCAGTAAGGAGTAAGCCCATATGATTTCAGCCAAAGGCTTTCTATTGTGCATTCCTTATAGGTCACCACATAGTTGCCTGAAGAGGAACGCATTTGTGCCTGTACTTGTACTGAAGAAATGACCAGGGCAAGACTTACAGGAATCTTAAAATAACAGGAGAACTTTTTTTATCTGAAAAAATAATTCAAAGTAGTCCAGAAATTATTTAACTAAGCTCAACTTTGCCTCCTTGTCCTTTCTGCAAACTGCTGCTTGAATCCTGAAAGACTCCAGCCATCCTAGGCACCTAGTTATTCAGGCAAAGTTATACTTTTTAACTACATGCCGTCATATATGAAACAAGTGCAGGATATTCTGCCCTCTTTTATTGAATATTATTGAATGCACCATTTTCAAAGGAGGTCTCTTGCCTTTTGTATCCTCGTTAGCCACTGGTGAGTTCCCAGAAGACTGGTGAGTAGCTCAAGAAGGGAAATAGGGATAATCCTATAGGATAATCCTCTAGACTGGTGAGTCTCACATCGGTGGTTGAGAAGCTATTGGAGACAATTCTTAGGGATAGCATTTTTGCACATTTGGAAGAGCGTGGCCTAATTAGGGACAGTCAGCATGGCTTTGTGTGTGTCAGATTATATCTTACTAACTTGATAGAATTTTTCAATGAGGTGACGAAGACGATTGATAAGGGTAGAGCAGTGGATGTTGTTTACATGAACTTTAGTAAGACTTTTGACAAGGTCCCTCATGGTACGCCATCGAGAAGATTAAGGTGCATGGGATCCACAGTGACTTGACCGCAAGGATTCAAAATTGGCTTGTCCATAGAAGGCAGAGGGTAGTGGTGGAAGGGTGGTTTTTTTGGCTGGAGGTCTGTGACTGGTGGTGCTCTACAGGGGTCCATACTGGGACCTCTGCTGTTTGTGATATATGATTTGGATGAAAATGTATCAGAGATAGTTGGAACTGTAGATGCTGGAGAATCTGAGATAACAAGGTGTAGAGCTGGATGAACACAGCAGGCCAAGCAGCATCAGAGGAGCAGGAAAACTGACGTTTCGGGCCT